CATGCCACTGGCAAGTATCTGCTTCAGAAGCGTTCTAAGTGCGGGGGAACCTACCATGCTGCTCCATCAACTAGCACCTAAGAAAGGTACCGTTAGGCTAGAAATAGGTCTAAATAACACTTTAGGAAAGCTCGACTGTTGTATGAAAGGAAATTGGCTTATGGAGCTACGGAAAATCCGAAGTTCTTCGCTTAGGTTAAGAGGCGCTGTGGTTTAAATTCGGTGATTCCAACTTTGATGCAAGCCGATGGAACTGATGCGTATGCTGACTCTAACAAGGCTCGTGTACTTGCGAAGCAGTATGCAAGGGCTTTTGTACTTGAGACCGCGTTGTCTAATGTTGAACTTGTCCCCACAGTTCCTGAGGGTTCTTATTCAGCTGAATTTACTTTAGTAGAAACGCGAGTCTTTAGGATGCTGCAATAGCTGAACCTTTCTAAAGCAGCTGGGCTTGATTCAATTCATCCGAAGCTTCTGCATGAGTTGGTGGCGGAACTAAGTGAACCGCTGACAATAGTGTTTAAGAAGTCACTTGACGACCGTACATTACCTTCTAAATGAACGGAGGCTGTCATCTGTTCTATTTTCAAAAACGGCGGCAGGAGTCTGTCAGCCAATTATATGCCAGTCAGTCTGACTAGTGTCGTGGTCAAACTGCTTGAAAAGCTGGTGAGAGATTCGTTGAAAGGTCACCTGAATAGATTCAATCTACTCCTTAGTGCACAACATGGATTCCGGAAGGGGTATTCGTGTTTGACGAATTTGTTGGTTGATCGTGAAGCTTGGACCGAGGCAATGAACGCTGGTCACGTAGTGAATATGCATTTCGTCGCCTTCTCGAAAGCATTTGCATAGGTACGCCACTTGAGGTTATCAAAAAAGCTAAGCTCCTACGACGTATCTGGCCGCGCCCGTCAATGGGTATCCACATTTTTGCAGGGAAGAGAGCAGTGTGTACGTGTGGGTCGCAGCTTATCCTTTAGGCAAGCAGTCCTTAGCTGTGTCCCACAGGGCTCGGTCCTGGGACCGATGAGGTTCTCCATCTACGTAAACGTTCTCCCGAGAGAAGTCGGAGTATCATCGCTATTGTTTGCTACTGACCTTAAGCTGTTGAATGTTTTAGATATCCCTGGGGGTTCTGAGGCCATTTAGCATGCACTAGACAGACTCGGGGCCTTGTCCACTTTTTGGCTACTGCCCATAAATCAGGCTAAGTGTTCCATCCTTCGTATAGGAGCAACGCTCCTATCTTCGAGGTATGTGCCCGGTGGGGTCGAACCCTCCCTGTCTCCAAGCAGGTAAACATAGGCGTCGTCCATTCCTCATCTTTGCATTCTGGTGACAATTGGAGGAAGACCGCAAGTAGGGGTTTCAGAATGTTGTGCTTACTACGCCGTTCTTTCGTGGTCTTAACTGCCGACGTATTGGTGATGCTGTTCTCAAATTTCCTTCGGCCCCATCTGGAACACTGCATCCAGGCTTGCCCGCCCTGCCTTGTACGAGACATAATGGAGCCCGAGAGGGTTTTGCGAGTAGGTACCAAATTGGTCGAGGGGTTATGGGGGCAATCGTACTCCGAGCGTCTGCTTAGCTTGGGTATGTATTCAATGCCCTACCGACAGCTTCGAGAAGACCGAATCCTTAACAGGGAAGGTTGGACCGGACTCGAGCTGACTATTTAGTCCGGCTAGATTAACTTGTCTTCGCGATCATCTCATAAAGCTACAGAAGCTGCGTTCCGATCGGATCAGGGCGAAAACTCGAGTATCACGCAGCGATATCGATGGCTGGAACTCGCTTTCAGAAAGTGTAGTCAGTGAACCTACGGTTAAGGGTTTCTAGCGTCAGTTAGACGCTCTTAGGAGGCAACACGAAACCTCGCGATATACTCAGCCCGCGTGCGACTGGTGGTCGTCGCACGGCAGTGAAGTGCCCTTACGGCGTACAGCTGACATTTGCTGTTATTATTATTTTTATTATTCCGTCATTCTCCTCCTTTTTGGTGTTTTCATTTTCAAGACTTTCCTTCCTCTTTATCTACTATATTCTTTCTGCGTTTTCCTTACTTCACGTGAGTTGCATAGTGGGGACTGCTAGTGCAGGGAACGTGGGCAGTACTTGGTTGACCAAGATGTGGTTTCCCTGTTCGGCTTTAGATTCATGAAGAGCTCCTAGCACATTATCATTCCTGCCTCCGCGGTACACACAAGAAGGAACGCTCAAGGATTTTCCTATCATGCCCGTCCCATCTGAATCTGATCCGCGGAGAGAAATTAGAAGTATCCGGCGTCGAAGTTATTCCAGAGTCGGGGTCACCAATTTAGCGTGTAGCCTTTAGCTTGAGCCCGGTGAGCGATACCAAAAGACAGATCAGGTTGCAAGAAAAGTTTTACTCGTACAACAAAAGGTTCTCTATTTTCTAGCTATGAAAAACGACACCGTTAACTTTCTAGCTGGGGGAACACAGAAAGTACACCACACAAGGCAGTCGTACGTTACAACCGAAACGAGCGCCAACCAAAATGGCGATGCTCAACTCAATCAATCGAATTCAGCAACCAGCTCACACACCGCATCAGTCGCCTAAATATACAATGATATAATTTTATATTACTCGTGAGTAGCCGGAATTTAGACGTACTCTTTTAGGGTATTCATCCCAGTAGTTCACAAGCTGCATAGCACGGCCTAGTCCGAAAAGCACCAGTAGCGTTTTAGTTAGAATTTCATACAAGCAAACCTGGACATCTCCAGACTGCTATAAAATCAAAGGGGCAACTCATCTAACCCTCTTCAAATTCGGGGTACCTACTGTTGTTACACGAATTACTAGGGAAACTGTGGGAGTAGGAAGCTGTCCTATCCGACTGGAGCCGTTCCGTTATTGTCCCATTCTTCGAATGAAGCTCGCGTCCAAAATGCGGCAACCATACAGGAATCAGTCTGTTCCCCATCGCCTCCAACGTACTTGCTTCTGTAATCCTTCACAGACTGACTGGCACTCGTAAAAGCCAGGTTCGTGAGGAGCAAACGGAGTTTCGTCGAGGTCGGGGTGCATCGAACACATCCTCAATTTGCGTCAGTTGTTGGAGCACCTTCACGTACATTGGCGGCCCATCGTTATCGTAATTCACATCATCAAATATGTCTTCCATTCGGTGGACAGATGTGCTTTATGGGACTGTCGGCTAAAGAAACGTGTGCCCGAGAACTATGTAAGTATTATGCGAACGCTTTACGCGCGTAGCTAGATCAGAATGAGGGCTTACGACAAGCTGTCGTTGCTTTTTAATGTCTCCACTGATGTAAGACAAGGATGCCCACTATCACCTTTCAGTTTCAACTTTGCTATTGATGAAGTCATGCAAATCGCCTTCGCAGGATACTACTCAGAAGATGTAGGTCTGCTCCCAGGAGAACGACTTTTTGACTTGGAGTATGCTGACGATATTGCCCTCATCTGTGACAGCTCACGGGAGTTCCAAGCAGCACTGGACAGATTAACACTGGCTGTCCGTCACTTCGGGTTTTGCCTTGCACCCTCAAAGTGCAAAGCTTATCTCTAAGCTTGGTAGGGATCGCCTCCTTCGCTGCCCGCTGGTCAGGATCAGCTAGAAGTCCTTCAAGGATTCAAGTACCTAAGCAGTTGTATCAGTGCCGTTGGAATTAGAGACCATGTCACAAACCCTATAGTAAAAGCAGGAGGCGCTTTTGCTAACTTACACCACGTATGGTGCCGACGCAACATCACTGTCTCCTTGAAGAATAGAGTGTACAATGCAGCGGTACGTTCGACGCTACTGTACGGTTGTGAAACCTGGCTCATTAGATCAGCCGACATAAAGAGGCTTGCTAAGTTCGACCACCGGTGCCTTCACATTTTGGCTCATGTCCGGTGGGAACCCCGTGTGAAAAATGCGCGTATTTGTAGCCTTGTTTACGACACAGGAAAAGGAAATGAAGCGCTCAGCACCGTTATTTCACATACCAGACTCAGATGGCTCGGCCACGTGTTACGAATGTCAGCTCACCGGCTCCCACGACGTGCATTGTTTGCGCGCCGGGGCTGTAGATGGAAAAAGACGAGGGTGGCCAAGCGATGACTTGGCCAGGAGGGATGAAGGCCCTTAGTTCGAAGTTTACTTCGGTTGGAGCCTTTCGGCTTCCTCGTTGAGTATCAAAAGACGATGTACACGTATGAGTGCATACACTTGTTGATATGTCTAGGAGCCTATCTCATTGGTCTTTGTATTGTGAGATTTTTGTCCCTTTCCTCCCGCTTAGTTTCCCCGTCCAACTACGATCTCATTGCCCAGCTTATGATAAATTTTACATAATATAATTTTTGCGGCAGTATACCGACTGGTAACTTTCCGGAACGATATCCATCGGTTACTGGTTGCTCAGCTAAAGTGCTTCGGTTGCAGGTTTTATTTTTCTTCTTTCTTTCTAACCTATTGCGGCACAATAGCTTACTTGTTTTCCACTCTATTATCATTTCACTTTACATTATCACACAACCCCAAAAAACCAACACCCAACAACCAAACCCACCCTTTAATTAAACCCTTAACTAACTACTACCATAATTACATTCTTCTCTACATTACCTCAACTCTATCTTCACCCTACTCTCCATCAATAAAAATACCACACCCTTAATACCTTTTCATAATATAAAATTACCCCATAAACACAACCATCTAATCAACATCTAAACCACAACCATCAAATATTCAGATACCACCACACCCCCATTACAAAAAACAACCACACCCAAAAACACACAACCAACACAAACAACACCCAACACCACCACAAAAACCAACAACCAACACACAAACCTCCCTCCCACAACCACCCCATACCACCAACCCACCCAACACCAACCCCCCACCACCAACACCCACACCCCCCACAAACAACCCCCCACCCCACACCACCACCACCACCACCACCACCACCACCACCACCACCACCACCACCACCACCACCCCCACCCCCACCCCCCCCCCCCCCCCCCCCCCCCCCCCCCCCCCCCCCCCCCCCCCCCCCCCCCCCCCCCCCCCCCCCCCCCCCCCCCCCCCCCCCCCCCCCCCCCCCCCCCCCCCCCCCCCCCCCCCCCCCCCCCCCCCCCCCCCCCCCCCCCCCCCCCCCCCCCCCCCCCCCCCCATCCCCCCCCCCCCCCCCCCCCCCCCCCCCCCCCCCCCCCCCCCCCCCCCCCCCCCCCCCCCCCCCCCCCCCCCCACAGATATATATATATAATAAGATTATTACCATATTGTCCCTCTCCCCACCCCCCGCACGCCTCCTGCGTCTCGATCCCACCTTCAACTACCATGCCACAATGATTATGAAGCGATGACGGTCCCTTATCTGCTGATCTCCATGGACAGCCTATGGTTCGCTGAGGCTGGTGGTGGCTAGATCCTGATGGATGGTCTACCCACTGCTGCTATTGTTGTGCCATTGGCTCACGTCCCGGTCCCCTCCTCGTGGCAACCGCTGGGTGGGAGTTGGGTTACCCCCTTCTCCCTGCTACGATCCAGGACACTAATCCGAATAACTCAGTGAACTGACCATGTGCTAGATCCGCTGTCTTTCTGGTGTTCATTCAACCGAAGACTTTGGTTGAGGACCTGAGTTGTTCTCCTTTCAGGTGTGGGCGTCCTGCCAGTATCTTGTCCATCCTCTTCGGAGGTTAGGAAGTGGTCGATGGCCCTCTTCCCGTAAAACCTGGCCATGGGTGACAACAGGTCTACGGGTTATAAACTCACAGCTCCATTGGTGTAGAGCACGAGCGCCACGCATTGTCTCTGACGGTGGGAGGACACCTCCAGGTTTTCAATGGTTTCCTACTGCCCGCCTCAAGCCAGACAGCCCCTGATCAAATTGGTGCAAACGCGCCAAAATCCAACTGCGTCTGGCCGTGGTCGCAGGTGTATCCTATTACGGTCGCAAAACATATTTAAATCGTTCCAGTACCTCCAAGACTGCGTGTGACGGCCGTCAAGCAGATCCCAATCTGTCTCTGCAATCAGATTCCTGAGCTGGATCTGCTCCCCCACTGCCTTGTGAGTCAGGCTATTGAGCCAAAGGCTCCGGGCGGAGTCCCTCAAGCAAACCTCCGAATCACCCACTGCCTTGTGGGTCAGGCTATTGAGCCAAAGGCTCCGGGTGGAGTCCCTTAAGCAAAGCTCCGAACCACAACGGCCACCTTGCGTGCGATTGCCCACCAATGCAATCGTATGCCTGCGCGCAAAGCACTCAGCATCGGGTGCTGGAACGAGCACACGCTACTGGACCGGCACTCCAGCGAGCGCGCGGAGCGGCGTACTGCACTCGTTGCGATGGAACTGGCGCGCTACAACATCGATATTGCGGCGAGCAGGGAAACCCGGTTCGCTAAGAAAGGTAAGTTGTATAAAGCAGTTGCTGGCTACACATTCTACTGGGTGGGGAACGCCGCCTTAGCACCACGTGGTCATGGGGTCTGATTCGCAATATCCGCTCGTCTAAATGGCCGGCTGGTTGGTGAACCAACAGACATCAGCGCGCGACTGATGACTGTTCGCCTACGACTCGGAAGAAGTGTCGGCAATCTTTATAAGCACGTACGGTCCCACCTTTTGTTATCCTGATGACACGCATGATCAATCCTACAAATAAGCTATCCTCCGTGACATGGTCTGTGCCGAGGAGCGACCGACTTTTTCTGCTGGGTGATTTCAACGCGCGCGTTGGGCGTGATGCATCGGTGTGGACAGATATCATCGGTCCGCATGGCATTGGTTCAGCGAATGCGAACGGTGACAGGCTGCTCTCACTGTGTGCCACCCACGGCCTGACGTGCACGAACACTCGGTTTGCACTGATTGCGAGTGATATAGCAACTTGGACGCACCCACGGAGTGGTCACGCTCACCTGCTCGACTATGTCATCGTACGTCAGCGTGATATGCGTGAAGTGTACATGACACGTGGAGCTGAGTGTGGCACTGATCACAAATTGGTGCGGACCAAACTGTACATATATTTTCGTAAATCGATGTATTGCACTCCCGCCGTGAATCGGCGTACATATAACATTCTCTCCCTCGGTACTGTGGCGAAACGTACTGAGCTGGAGAAGGCGATGGCTGCACGCCTGTGTGATGTAAACTGCATAGCCACAGTGAGCGACCTGTGGCACCACATTCGCGACCAGGTGACAGCTGCTGCCGAGGACACCATCAGGTGCGCAAACTGTAAGCCGCCTGATTGGTTTCACGACAGCAATGTGACGATTGGCGCATTGGTGTCAGAGAAGAATGCAGAATTTGCTGCACATGTCGCAGACCCCAGTGACTTGTGGAAGAAGAGTCAGTTTCGCAAACTTCGACGGCGACTGACCCGAGAGCTCCGTCGCATAAAAATTCACGGTGGACGGAGAAGGCGAAGCAGATGGAATGCTACGCCGAATGCCGCCAACACAAGAAATTCTTTGACTCCTTGAAGGCGGTGTATGGAGCGAGATTGGAGGCGCTGAGGACATTGATCGATGGTAGTTCAGGCGCTACCTGCACACAGACTACAGACATAATGCAGATCTGGCGGAAACACTTCGACTGTCTCTTGAACAACCGTTCAGAGATCGACTGGCCTACAATGAACGGCCCGAAGTAGCACGATATGAAGACGAGTCTGGCGGACGTGCCGACACTGGATGAGACGCAGAGAGCACTTGCTCAGCTGCGAAAAGGTAAGTGTGCTGGGGCCAACGGGATCTCGCCTGAAGTATTGAAACACAGCGGATCCGCGTTGTTGACTGCGCTGCACCACTTGGTGCAACCCGTATGGATTGAGGAGGAGGTGCCTCCTGAGCTGAAGGACGCCCTTGTGCTACCACTGTACAAGGGCAAAGGTAGTAAGCAATGTTTCACGAATTATTCTACGGTTCACATTGTGGATGTGGCCACATGTGACGCGTACCGAATGGATTGTACTTGTAAACTGAAAGTGGATAAATACGGATCAGGGGAGAATGCCGCAGCCATATCGCGACACATACGTGAACAGTTTCCTGAGACAACAAATATTGTTCACCACCCCGTCGTTATCAATAAGCGAGGGATGATATATTCCACCTCAGCCAAACATCTTACCGCACTCGGGATGACATCACTTAATATTTCTGACCTCTGTGTTTCTACTCTTCGTCTGACTCTGAAGGTCTACGACACCTACATGAGTGGTGCATCATCACGCCTTACATAACATGCACCCAATCCCACACGGTGACAATTGACGCGGTTCCGACCACTGTTTGAAGTTTTTTATTTCAATCAGTGTTTCCTATTCTGCCGGGACATTCGTCCTCTCTTGGCATATTGCTGTACAGCTCATCCCTCGAGCCATGCATGCAAATGTCAAAAATAAATGTTAATGGCATCAACTTGCTGAGTTGTGTGGGCAAGGTGATTGCCCGAATCCTACTCAACCGCCTCGTCAGTCAGGTTGTGGAACCTAACGTGGCGGAAGAGCAATGTGGATTCCGTTCGGGTCGCAGCACTATAGATATGGTGTTTGCGGCTCGTCAGTTGCAAGAGAAGTGCAGAGAACGATGTTGTATCAAGAAAGCCGTGAGAAAGGTAAAATGTATCTCACAAAATTAACCAAGTACAACTGAGTCAATCCCTTGTTAAACGGAGAGTCAAGCGACCGACACACGGACCAATAGT